GTGTGCTCTTCCGATCTTTTTTCATTACATTGTAAAATGTATTTAAACGGCTCCAAAAGTTTCTACATAATAAAAATCATGACTTCTTAGTTTTTCTTGCTAGTAACAATATAAGCAATAATAAAATGAGGAGTTAAAATTTATAAACTCGAGCTATGTTGAATGGTTCAATAACTAATGTGGGCTGCTAAAGTATTTATAGCTCACATAAAGAACCAATCAAAATCCATGAACAAGCTATGGGATTGAAATAGAAAAAGAAAAAAATTATATAATACCGACCTTGTCCTCCTCCGTGTCACCGCTTAAAGAATGATAAAAGGGTGTAACCTCCTTTATATTTGTCATGTTGAACTAAACAATGATATCTTCGTTCTGCTGTACTTAACAATGAAATAATTTATGCAAGTTTATATTATTTCGCTTCGTACATTAGTACATATGTGGCGCCGCGTGTTAAGTTAATTAGTGCACAGAAGTACTGTAAGATTTGCTAGAATTGTTACTTTATAAAAAACAATTTTATTCAATCAAGTTTTCTAATAATTTCTCACAATGCCTATTACTCGCGTGTTACAAGTGTTTGTAATGGACTCGACGAACTGCCGCTGCTGTCGGAGAGTTCTTTATTTATACTCAAAAATTCTAAGGAGTTTTATAATGTCCGCCTTCAGAAATGTTGCAATACAATGTTGCAGCAACATTAAAATATAATGTAAATTTTAACAGCACAGGAATATTCTGAGAACGAGCATTATATACCAGAAAATAAAAGAAAATACACACGACAAAATTATAATTTAAAAAAGGTTTGGAAACTAATTTTAGTTTGTATTTCTAAGCGGTCACTTATCCAAGCTATGTACCTAGGGTGCGTTCCGATATTCACTGGCAGTACTGCAAATGCTGTTCCTATATATGTTGCAGTAAACTTTAGAGTGCCTTCGCGTGCATGTGACGTCATAGATTTTGTCGTCACGTTCTGCTTTCATTACTGCGGCTGGAAGTGAGGCAGTTGCAGTAAAAACATAGCGATGTCCATAGAAAAACTCACGCTTATAGACGCAGAAAAAAATAACGATTACAAAATTTTCATTTAAGTAGTGAGGATGGGGAAAAAGCACAAACAGGTAAAAATGCAATTACTAATCTCGATGTTTTTATAAATATGAATATTGTCTATGTTTATTTACAGATTAATAATCAAACAGTACAAGTTCTAAGTCTCTCTATTCATTTATAACGCGATATCTAAATTAGCGATGATATTTGAAATCTGTTTGCACAGTAATTAAAACTTAAAAATGGACTAAACTAATACAATTGTTTAAAATTCATTATTTATCAATCGGATGACGA